ATAGGCAAACTCAAGAGTAATGAAATACATTCTCCCAACAGCTGACTGTATTTGTGCAACTTCTCCATTTAGAATCAAACATGCCACAGCCTTCTTGGATGTGGCAATCCTCCTCTGAAAGTGCCTCTAAAAATGATTTAACTCTTGCAGAAAACAAGTTTGCCTTGTGCAGAAGCGAGGCATAATGAAAGCCTGTTGTGACAAAAAAGACCAGCTATTTTTCTGAAGCTGAAATTGTACCAAGTCTTTCAATCCATAGAATACCTGAAACAAGAGTGAAAGTGGCAACCGCAAGTTCCAAACATAATTCAGACTTTTTGAAAGTGAAGCTCAGTAGATTAAATACAACTTGAAAAAGAGTCATCAACCTAAATTACAAGAGCTATTTGAAACTGTCTGCAGGTCACTTTAAAGTATGATGCCAGGGCGTGTATGTATTCCAACACTTACACCCACAAAAGCAGGCAGCCGTGGAATGTAGTATTATCTTGATATTTAGATTTGTTTTAGTTGTTTCACAATACACATAGTGCTTACCAAACAAAAAAAGAAAAATTTAAAGCCATTTTCATGATGTGTTCATGTGTTCTGGAAGCTATCACTTCCCAAGGGGAATTCAAATGGCTTTAAGCACCACAACTAAGGAGGGGTGGGGGTGGAAAACACAAATACAGCATCCTTGTATTTTGTTACAGCAAAGTACAGATGTTCATGTATAGTTCAAGTAATGACCAAGTGAACTGAAGCAGCGATCTGTATGAATATGAAACAAGGTATCACATTCAACCCAAACTGGCAGACCTCATTTTATAGCAATGTGATCAACAGCTACAATCTACATATACAGATATAATACAAAAATCTAGTCAGTAAAGAAACAAAAATATTCTGCAACAGTTGAAATCTGTGTGATTATTTCTATTCTATCCCATTAAGGAACAGTGCTACACCTCCTGCCTCTCATACAGCAGGTCTATATCAGAGCCCAGGCTGGTACTCCATAGAAAAAAAATAATAAATTCTGCAGCTACAGTTATTTAGTGTGAGAATACTTTATTTTTTCCAATCAAGTTCAAACTCAAACTTGCAGCCATGAGCACCCACTTTAATTAGTAGGTATTAACAAAATTTGAGAGAAAAATCTTCACAATTGCTTCAAAGTGAGTAATGTTGACTAGCTAGCCCTCAGTTTTGTAAAGAATTTTCATCCTTCCCTCTTCTAACAATACTCACAGTATGTTTCAACCAGAAGAGGAAGCAATAACATCATTAAGTGTTGAAGAATGAAAGAAGGGAGAAAATAAATACTTGTATTTAGTCTCAGTTCTAATACATAAACCAAGCCATTTGACTAGTATGGAACAAACAAATTGTTTAGAGTAGTGTAATATAAGCACTGTCAACACAAGCATGCTCTATCTATTCTCTCAGAGAATCCTTATCTGTAGTCTACAATGACTACTGTGCACAGGAAGGCAGACAAACGACACTGTCTGAGCTCTACCAAGGCTATTAAAACCAGTTTTCTTTTTCTTTTTCCCCTCCTCTGATGCAGCATCAGTTTAACAAAGTTCCGCACACAAGTACCAAATGCTTTCATAAACTAATTTGCCTTATACAAAAGTTGGAATCATTTCACACCAGCAGCATGATTTGCATGGTTTTGCATTCTGAAATGGTTGGCTATGAACCACCTCTTTTTTTGCCCTTTGTACTAGAAAACTGGGCACAAAATATAGCTGCAAATTTCCACACTGAGACAGACATTCAGTCTTCTGTAAAACTGGAAGATCTGGCAAGATGAACTGGCAAAAGCAGTCGCTCGCTAGCTGAAAAATGTAAGCTTTACATAAGACACTTTCAAGTTTCTACACACAAAAACATCCACCATTTCAAGAAAAAGCCCAACAAAACAAAGAAAACACCACAAATCAGCACTTCAGACTTACTTCTTCAATGCAAAATGCATAGAGACCTGTAACTCCAAAATTGCCCACTTTATATATCCAAAAATGAAAATCCAGCCTGCTTTAACGTAGGTATGGTGCAATGCAGTGGGACTGATCTCACTGCACCAGTACTTTTTCCGTCCTTTCCTATTCTCCCATACCTCCTGCACCCCAAGGGTTAAAACCGCAGCCTCTGATAACAATAAGGCAGGCTACAGAAAGGGGAAGATCATTTTAATTTTACCTTACTGCAGAAGATTAGCTCCTATAGGGTTGATGCCATTTTTTTTTTTTTTTTTTTTTTAATACCAGCAACAATTTGTAAGCAGTATTAAGCAGCCTGGAACTGCAGCACCTGTGCGATACCAGGGTGTTCCACTTCACTAAGAAAGAGGTGGAACTCCTTAAAAATGGAGCTATATATAATTAGAGATACACGAGCTTCTTTGTACTCAGCGAATTAATAGGGTAGCTTTTTCCATCTCCACTCTTCAGCAAGCTATTAGCAATACCTAAACTCTGATTCTTATATCAACAGAACATTAGAGGTTTTTTGCCTATGCCAAAAGAAGGCAGTTTACCAGAAGGCTTCTTTAATTTCAGTTTAGGGGATGAGTAAGTCCTAGTTCACGCTTCAAATAAAAGCCTTTTCAGCAAAACAGCCTCAAGTACTCTCAACGAACACGGAGGCAAGAGACATTAACTTTGTATCAGGGGGTATAACATGAAGAACAGCTTTGCAGAGTCACCCTTCATCCTCAAGTATATACATGCTTCTGCATCACAAAACCATACAGGATAAAGGATTAATTCTCTCTGGATCTTTTGACACTCGTAGAAACAGCAGGTTGAGAAATTATCACATAAAAATTAGCATTCGTGCACATGACTGTTCATAATCTTAATTCTTAGATTCACTGAGACAACTACATAGATTTCATGGAGTTACACAGCTGTTAAGACATTCTACTCATGTTACCTTTGAGCGGCTATCATACACCTACATTCTATTACATCAAAACTTATTCCTAGCTATTTGACAACTAAAGAGCATACAGGCACCTAAGCTTGCATGTCAGCATTAACAGTTTAAATCAGTTCAAGATCATACCAGAAAAATCATTTCATAATGGAGACACCAGAATCCTGTTCTTGTAAATCTAGTAGCTGCCTGAAAACAGTAAGAAAATTCATTTAAAATAAGGCACAGATACTAATGACTTAATGTTTAATACTGTATTGTTTATGCTGTCAGAATACAACTTTTGGCAGTTAAAAATAATGCATAATTTTATTAGTTATTTCTCAAGAATGATCAAGTCAATCTTACCTTGCCACTAGAACAAAAGCACCATCCACAGTTATGATTCAATAAATCCATGGCCACACGCAGAATTCATTACAAGCCCATGTACGTACATCTACAGTCAAGCTGGATTTTTTAATACTAGAGTATTTCACTTTAATCAATTAGAATGATTACTTATTATTATTACCAGAAATAAATGGCCATGAGTTACTTCATTCTATCAAAAAAAAAAAAAATAAATCCCCAAACATAAAACCAGGAGAAAATAAGATCTGAATTTCCATCACCTTTTAGATTATTGCACAAGCAGAATAGAGTTTCAGCAGCTGCTACCCAAATTATAAAGCTAGTCTTTCTGTTACTTTTACATTTAAGTGCTCAACAGAAGAGTAAATACAAGAATGGAATCATAGTATATATAGTTTCTTTAAACTTTTAATTGACAACAAGAATATTTGAAGAGTAGTAAGTTTTATCTCAAACTCCGAGTGTGAAATATCTCTAACAGTACATGAAAATTCAAGCAAAAAGAATTTGGCTGTGTATAGCTCAAGATTGTCCCACAGACTTATGTGTTTTGGGATGTCCCAGAAATCTTCCCTGTAGCTGACTGCCCTGGGAAGTGCAAAACCTTTGGTGGTTTAAAGAATATTCAAATAACCAGAAGCACCAAATTCTAATGACGTATTTCTAGTTGCCCTTCAGAAGACAGCAATAATGACATGTAAATTAAATACAAAATTAAGCAATTGAAGGCCTAAAGCTGTTGACCACTACAAGAGTTTAAAATTCATTTATTTCATCTGTAAAGCAAAAACCACTTGGGGCTATCAAAAGACTTTTCTCTTGCACATCAATAAAAGTGCACATGCTTAATGCTATGAAAACAACCCTTGTAAATACTTTTTTTTTTTTTAAAGAAGTAGACTATTTGGTGATACATGCTTTGCATGTATATTTAAGTGAACATGTGGCACTTCATAAGTTTTAACTGGAAAAGCATGCTTCCTAGTCATAAAATAAAGAGGCAATAGCAAGCCTAAATCAAAACTCCCTCAGAGCTATTAAGCAGTAGCTTTTAAATTAAAATAGTACAGGATAGCAAAAGGACAGTAGAAGAGTTTATAGCTGTATTTTCAATGCTATTGTTGCTATAAAATTGCCAGCATTGCTCAGGCTAGAACTTGATCAATTCTGCAAAAGCTCGTTGTCATTTTCTTAAAGGAGGTAGTATAAAAGGGTGTGGCTTGAAAAACATGGCCTCATCTGGCTGTAAACATTTCAAACAACAGACATAAATACATGATAAAAAGTACAGTGGAAGAGATTATTCTAGAAATTGTTTTATGAACTTGAAAAGAAAAAACAGTAGATACATTTAATATATTTACTTATTTGCATGTACTTTAAATGATACAGAAGATTACTATGTTAGAAATCCACATACAATATAAAAACATTTGTTAGACAAAGTCACCATTCTGCTGACATTTGCAATGACTGTTTATCCAAGCTTAACTTCAGGTATTTATAATATTTTTCATACATGAATCTTTGTATATGTGCAATGTTTCATTAACTACACAAAGTGAAACCCTGATTTTTGTAGTTTTTCATCACAATCTGAATGTAATAGCTATCTGCATCTTAACACATTGGCTTTTTGAAACACTAGTAATTAAGGCATCTTTGCTGTATAGTTTCTCAATAGTGCAAACAAAAACTGTCTTTAATAGAATGACTAAAACATAGAAGTAACTGAATATTCTGAAGTTTGGTTTTTTTTTTTAATGTAACTGGAAGATAGTTGTGCATTTCGGAGTTCTCTTGTGAAAGAAAGATTTAAAAGCTCTTAATGCTGATTGCTTTTGTTGGTTCCTTGTGACTGGTTCAGCTGTCTTGGCTTCATGACAGGATAATTCATCTTTTATGGGATGTTGTAGTAAAATACAGTAGCATTTAAATGAATACCTAGTAACTAAGTGAATCCCAAATGCAGCAAAGGCATACAGTTTTCATAGTGCACTTTCACCTCACTGAAGTAAAAGTTGCTCCTACTAGACATTTTTCCACTTCAATGTGAAGTAGATTGTTAGGATGTTAGTGGTTTTATTAAACGACTTGACAGTTCAGTTCTCGTCTGCCAGTATTTCTCAAAAGGCTTTCAGACAGTACATATTTCAGGGATACCTCAGGGGATTGTTTCACCACATAAGCACAGTTTCCCAATCGTGTCAGTGTAGCTGTAATAAATAAGCATTTATATCCTAGAAAGAAAGAAAAAAAAAAAAAAAAAAAAAAAAAAAAAAGAGAAAGTGTTTGTCACGTTACTTGTAGCTGTATGTCTGAGGCAGAGTAACCCATCAGGACTATAATACAAGAGTAATTATGTTTTGGCCAAATTTCAGAACAAGTTATCTTCATGATTACTTTCAATTAATGCTTTCAATGGCATTTCTTTATGTACTGAAAAGTCTGCATAACAGTGAGATTAGTTTCCAAAGCACCAATTTAGTTTTCCCTCTGCTCCCTGCATGCACAGGAGAAGTCATCATCATGAGATCGTGTATTTGAAATACATTTATTAAGAGTGATACTCCTTCGCCACGTCCCTCCAGCATACTTGTACTAGTCCTATTGCTCTCGACTTGTTCAGGTGGCCTCAGCCACAATCTATCCTGATATACATTAATAGGCAAACAAACAGAAAGAGAAACTGAATCCCAGAGAAATAAACTGACACTGGCTGTAACTGCTATGTTGATCTACCAGAAGAACTAGGCAGTCTATATTACAAGCTCCTATTGCTCTACCAGTTGGGAGTTAGAACTCAGTTCTTCTGCATGCCTGCTGACTGAAACTTCAAGAGGTTTGTAATTATCCTCACAGAGACATCAAAATTGAAGTCAGAGGAGCACAGCAGTCCCAGAAGAACAAGAAACAACTTACTTGGTTGGTACATCAAAGCGACAAATGCTGTAGCCGTAGTACCGTATATGAAGGAGCTTTGCAGAATCTATAAGCATGCAGTCTTTAAGTCCTTCTCAAGTTCACTCAAATCCTGCACATAACCAAGTGCCTGCTTTAAGTCCTTTCCCACTGTCTACCTTCATCAGGTCCCTCCATGTGGACAGGTTTCTTATTCAGTGTAATTCTTTGTGCCCAACCTCAGAAAGCCATGTTAATAGAGAGGAGTATCATGAGCAGCAAATCATGCATCTACCAGACATCCTCATTATATGACCGATACCACAACATGTTTGCCTTGAGAAAAGCAAACAGGGTTCACTTCAGATGGAGACACTTCTTTGGTCTCCAAACACCTTTAGGCATTAGGCCAACAATAAGCTTTAGGATTCAGTATGTTGTCACTTGCCCCAGTCACCTGATGTGCAAATGCTAACAGTGCTGGGCTAAGATTCTCCCTGCTCATTACACTTACAACAATGGCTATAGAATCACAGAATCAACTAGGTTGGAAAAGACCTTTACGATCATTAAGTCCAACCTTTATCCCAGGACTGCTAAGTCCACCACTAAACCATGTCACTGAGGGCCTCATCTACACAGTTTCTGAACACTTCCAGGGACAGTGATTCCACCACTTTCCTGGGCAGCCTGTTCCAATGTCTGATCGCCCTCTCGGTGAAGAAATTTTTCCTAATATCCAGTCTAAACTAAGCCTGGTGCAGCTTGAGGCTGTTTCCTCTTGTAAAAATTCTGCAATATGCTTGAGCATCAGTGGAAAATAAAGGTGTTTATATCCATCAATAGTTTAGCATAAGTAACACCAAATGAGAGTAATACTGCAAGCGATACAATTATGTATTCATTACTAAACACAACTGGAACTGGATTACCTTAGCTATATTACCAGTATATCCTGGAACCAGAGTCAGATGATTCTGCTGTTCCCATAAACCACTTAATTCTTGTTTTAAAATATGAATATTTCTGAGGGGGGAAAAAAATAAAAAATAGAATGACCACCACTTTATAACGTACATACTACATTTCAGTACTTTTTGACCAAAACACAAATACTGCATATAGATTTAGTCTATATGATATTGCCACAATATCAGAAAAATTTTGATCCAACTTCTACAGCATTTGTATTAATCCTTGATATGACTATATTCTACATGTATTAAAACTCAAAAAAATACCCAACAAACCAAAACCCCCAACCCAAAACATGACAATCCTTAAAGTAAGTTTCCAAACATGACCTGTATCTTAAGAACAGAAGAACTCCTTAAGTGCTTTTAAGCTTTTACTTTCAAATTGTAATATTTTTTCTTCTTTTGTAGAAGAGGTGTGCTCCTACTGATGGAAGCTGAAACAGATTTTGAGACAGAATAAGCTACAGACCCACATTTAAATATATCCCAACACTATACTCACCCATCCTCTGCCTTTTCTGTATGTGCAGATAATTCTGACCACCATCTTTTAATGACAGCCTGAAGCCAGTTTAAACCAACTATCACATATCTGTAACAACATATTTTACATATTATGCTTTTCTCCCGTTCTTCAATACCTACAGGTCAGCTGAAGTGCCAAGACAAAATGGTAAACAACTTAGAAAGCAACATGTGTTCTACTCTGGAATAAAAATCTAGACAAATTGGCAAGTTTGAAATTGAAGACACAGGCAAGAATTTAAAGTGGTAAACTGAAGCTCTTACTGAAAAAGAGAAATTCTTCAAGAATTTTGCTTGAAAACTTTGCCCTGATTTCATGTTACAAAGCATACTAAAGCCTCAGTGCTATTCTGTTCTCCTGTTTAGGATAAATAAATTTGCCTAAGGGCAAAGCCAGTCCCCACAGTACTAACTAAACCTTGCAGAAAAAGGTTTTTGGACCACTGGTTTGTTAAAGGAGAAAGTTTCACAGGAAAGATCCCCTTCAGGTAGGTGTTCCTTCGGAAAGGCAGCGTTGGGAGAAGGGGCAGAGGGAACAAAAGTCAGAGGACTAAACACCACTAATGTCTAGGGCAGCGCATATCCAGGAAGTAAGAGTGTTTTGAAAACATCTGAAACTGATACTTACTCTTCATATTTGCTTTTAAGCAGAGATTTCACTAAAGGCAAAAGATCTACACAGCAGCCAACTGAAATAAATGGTTTTTCTTCCTGCAAACTTAAAAAACACAAGATGTTTCAGAAGTGCTTGAACTTCAGCATGGTTATAGCAGATTCTTATCCCCCACTTCTTTTTGTATGTACCTCTTTGTAAGCACAGGAAGGCAGTCTACTACTACTCCAAGATCCTGTATCCTAGAATCATTAAGAATAAAATCAGAAATGTTACTGGTAAAGCATAGGTTGAATTATATGCTTCCACTATGATTTAAAGAATAAATATAACAAAATTACAACATTTAAGTAACCCCTAAAAATACTGCAGCACATTTGAGATTGTTACCACTTTAAGAATATAGAAGAGACACATAATTTACCTCACTAAGTAGGTGACCAGTTCATTTATACTCCTCCTTCTCCAAAAGGTTAAAGCTACATTCAGCCTCAGATGCCTGCTGAAAAGAACTTGAGTCATAGTTTCATGGTCCTGAGAAACCTGTGTATTTATGAAAAGGTAAAAGGTAACCACAAGTTCAGTAGCCAGCAACAACACAATAATCTGCTCTAATATAGTAACTTAATATATGAAAATATACTTTCCGACCTGTATGCTGAGTTTTAGAAATTTAGCTAACAATGGCCTTAAACCCCACAAATTTCCCTTAGAAGAGGGCACAAATAGATAAAGACTACTTGACCCAAAAGCTACAAGAATAAGGTTTGTAGACATTTAAAAAGGGGTATCTAATTATTAAATAGAGCATTCATGAGGATGAACCTATAAATCTCACCAACTTTGAGTACTTTGTACTTAGATGCTTACCAATTTTGACATGATTCAGACATAAATAATTACATGTATTCTTCTGTACTTTCACAGAAAAGGTTCATTTTTGAAAAAGCTTGTTCTTGGAATGAAGTTTAGGTATTTTATTAAAATAAACCTTTGACTGGAATAAACAGTACATCTCAAGTTAAACCATCACCTGTGGCCAGTGAGCTGGTATTTAGTTTCTCAGAGGTTAAATCTTCCCCAGTCTTAATTTCTTCACCCTTCTTTCCACAGCCTCTTATTCTAACTATTCTGCTTCTCCTTCCTTGAAACCATCAATTTGATGGAATGCAAGAGTGCCACAGACTTGTACCTCCAGCCCACTGGACTCTCAGAGCTATCTCTTCATGGCAGCCCATGCTGACAGTACTATGAAAAGACAGCATGGTGACAGTCTTCAATCTGATCTTCCCTGTCATGCCTCACTTGAAACACCCGCAGGCCACAATGGGTAACAAGCATCTATGGTGACAGAAATGGAAATTCAACATTAAGGGGCTTAAATGGCCTACACTGTCACAACACCCATTTCATTTAAATATCTGACCTTTTAGCCAGTTTCAGACACGCTACAAACATTCACCGAGTTTCATCAAGCAACCTTAGCAAGAAATAGTCTCATACAAACACCTAAGCTAGTTGCATACACACTAAGCTGACACTGCTATTGAAGATGGTCCTATCCTACCTCACCAGCTTATTCCCATCCACATGCCAACACTTTCACACTTCCATAAACATGTGCGTGGCCATGCATCATGCCATATCATGAAACTTGACCAGGTCCAAAGAATGTTTTCCTTTGGTGCTGGTGCAATTTTAACCCAGACTAGCCTGGAAGATCTGAGCTTCTGTGCTGACCCAAACATGTGGAACACCGGTAGTACTATTCCTGTTGGCAACTCTATCATTGTAAACTGACAGATGGTAAATGACAAGACCTAAGCCAATCTGTATGTTAAGAAAATTAGTATCTTTGAAAAATTTCACAGCTAACCACACAAAGAAACTAACAGTAATACTTTAATTTTAAATTAAAGTTTCTTTAAACTCTACTTACCTCTGAAAAAAATCCACTGTATTTGGATGAGGGGCCTTCTGTTTGAGATGAGCCAGAGTCACTAGAATTCAGGAAGTACGTACGACTATTGTGCAGTTTTGCTAGCAGATTCCCTGCACAAGCCAGTTCATTTTCTTTATTTGCCATGTCACAGTCCCTAGATTTAGGGAGCTGCTTCTTTCTGTAACAAGGCTTTGGAGTGTAGCAATGAACTTTTCTTTTACAATATACTACTTTGAAAAGAGAGAGGGGACTTGTCACCGTTTTTCCAACTGTTACTCTGCAACAATAAAGCAGTAGTTTAGTGGAGGTTGCTCTAAACCTAAGCAATACTTTGTGTTTAGTTAAGATATATCATTATGAATTCAGTAGTCAACTTGCAGGTTACTTAGAATACTTTATCCCCACGATACTTCTGATAATGCAAATAGTCATGAAAGTGTAAGAGCTACCACCAATATTTTTCTCTTGCTTTCATGAATGCAGAGACTTACTATTATAGAAGCAGACAAAAGAACCAATTGTCACCGAAATTAAGACCCATCTTTTAACTGTGTCTGTCTGGGTATTGTAATACATTTAAACTGCTTCTTCCTCTATGTCTCCCTCTCACTTGAAACTCAAGACTCTTCACATCACTGCTCTCCTACCTGTTTGTGTATGAAGCCAGCTGTTTTGGAGATTTCTTACCCTGGGAGAAAGGGAGTAGAGAAGAAAAAAGCTGTATTACTGAAAAGGATCAAGTACTCCCACAGTCTGTCAAAAAGTAGTCCTGCTTGGCCGTGGCCTAAGTTTACTACGGATTCCCTCCCTTCCAGCCACTCTTCCTATTCTTCAACTTAAGCACAGCTATGTTAACCTTCCCATAATCTTCAAGTATTTCAGGGTGGCCTAAAGATGGACTCTCTGCCACAGCTGTCCCTGGAGCACCATGGTCAGCTGTAGGGTATCTTTGGCAAGAGGCAGGATTGTGACATCAGCAACGGATTCTTTAGCTACAAGCAAACTAAACACCGACATATGAAAAGCCCACTGGAATCTGATGGCAAAATTGCATTACTTGTCTCACATATATTTAAAGGCCCATAATATAATGCCTGTAAGATGCCATTATTAGGAAGGATAACAGCAGAACATTTCCCAGCCAAAGCACAAGGGAAAAAAAAAAAAAAAAAAAAATATCAAGACTGCTGTAGACAACACCAGTTTGATTATCCTGAATTCATTCATAGGAAACAGATTAGCACCCTGACACCAGATAGGCTGCATAGAACAGTGATATCCTACAGGAATAACAGAATTCACTCAAGGTTGTGCCACACCTTTGAAAATTAAGCAACACAATCTTAAGATGGATTTCTGAAGACTGTTTTTTATACAATATTCTTCAATGTTTTAGAGCTTCATGTAATGAAGATGTGCTTAATTGTGTCATTCTCTATATTTTTACTGGTAAAAAGAAATATTAAAGATAAAAAAGCACTAAGATGCTCAAGCTAGAAATATGTATTTTCACATAAACAGGTACTATGTTCATATACTGCTGGCATTTCCACTTGAAATTTACATGACTCTTTACATTTATGTTGTGCCCATCAGCAAAACCATGCTATGATCTTAACACCAACTTACCAAATCATGTGTGTTTTAATACATAATTTCAATAAGCAAAGAGGATACTGGCATCTTTACCACTGAAGCAATCTTGCAATAAGTTTACTTCCCTAAAGCTTCCTCCATGCTCTGCTGCCTTGCTCTTCAGCCAGTAACACAGGTAAGAGTCTTGAGAAATTGTTTCTGACTAGCAAGAATCCAGTGAAAGCTTATATGTTACTAGACAATGTGGTAGATCCAGCTATACGATAATATGACAACAGGTTCATTTCAATGCAGGTATTTCACCTACCCCACCTCTTACCTGTGCCATGTAGCTCCCCTGGCAAGAGAACTTTTTGATGGTAGAATTCCTCTACTGTAACAATTCTTAGATAGACTGCAGAGAAGTAGGCATGAGTAAAACCGTATCAGCACCTACTGCTCATGTGGATGATATGATGCCTGTAATTGTGTAGTCTGTGCAGTGATGGCCTATCATAGACTCTTAGAACAATTTGGGTTGGAATGGACCTTCGAAGGTCATCTAGTCCAACCCCCCTGCAATAAGCAGGGACCTCTTCAGCCAGAACCACATCCAGTCTGGCAATGTCTCCCAGGATGGCGCATCCACTACCTCTCTGGGCAACCTGTGCCAGTATTTTACCATCCTCATTGTAAAGAACTTTTTCCTAACACTCAGCCCGAATCTCTTCTCTTTTAGTTTAAAGCTAAAACCCCTTGTCGTATCACAACAGGCCCTGCTAAAAAGTCTGTATTATAATGCATAGTTTTCATAATGTAATTGCTGTTAAAGCTAAAGTTCTACTGCACACATAAACATGAACACCCAGTAGTGCTGTGCTTCTAGTTTTAGACTGCTCAGAACTATGAACTTGTTTGAATGCTTACTTCAGTTTTATCAGAAGACATCAAAAAACCCCCACAACCACAGAGCTTACCTCCTTCATGATCTTTTTAGTGGAAGAAGAGATTCTTTTCCTGGGGAGATCAATGGGATGACCTTCGATATGCAATACTTTCTGTTTTCTAACATTGTGGGCTTCAGATGCCATAATCTCTCAAATATCTGTTTTCAAGGGAAAGATACTTAGTTACGTTTTCTAAAATTTTCAGTCAACTTTCTTCAAATGCAGCTGGCAAAACCAGTTAAAAGAGTTCAACTATTCACAAGATGTTCTATCATCTAAGTAACCCAAGATATCACCCTTCAGCAAATGGTAGCTTGATCATTAGTAACATGCTGATGAACACTTCAAAATTCCCATTTAATTTTCAGCCCCTCTCCAAGACATAGAAGCAGAGATTCTGTTCTAAATCCAATTTAGTACATCTGCACTGAAGGGTGTCACACAGACAAGAATTCAAGTAAAGCAAAAGGCAATTTAGGAGACTCCTGCACATTTCACACTATGAATTTCATCTGCAATCTAGAGAAAAATTGGTCCCACAACTATTTCCAAGTGGGAAAAGGCAGCTAAATAAAAATAATCCCTGCTTTTTTTTCAAGAAGGCAAACTTTATCAGAATACCAAAGGTAAAAAAAAAAAAAAAAATGGAAGTGAAAGACCTCCTTGTAATTTATTGGCAAATTCACTCCCCTGCCTATTTTTCTCAGCATATAACTTTGGCTATTTTTCATATTAAAAAAAAATATCTTTATTCCACAGTTAACCAATACTAAAATATCTAAAGGACTGCGCCTTGAAGTATGCAAATATTTCTACAAGAATCAAACCCAAGATTGAGACACTTGCACATATGGTTTTACATTTTTTGTAAGTGATTCAGAGAAGACAGTGCTTGAGACTGGATTAAAGAACTACATCATGTTTTAGCATGAAAACATTTTAGCAAGACATCCTGCCTTAAAGACCAACCCTTTTCTGCAATTTTACTGTTTCCCTCCTCCCCCCAAGTGGCAAAACTCTGGTCTCAACATGAATGCCCCAATCTCTCCCATCCACCTTTAGTACCAATCCCATCACCTTTAGTCCTATCCCATTTCCTCTGTGTAGCAGATTTATCCCACATTAAGAACTTCAGTATATGAAAGACTAGGACACTGAGCAGTGAAAAAGACAGATGGGAAACAGCTTATTAGCCACAGAAGATCTTTCAATGTCATAGCTAAAGGCCATCAGATAAGACAAACAGGTGGCAGGCTCAAAACAAAGAAGTCGTATTCTTCACATAATGCACGTTTAATTCCATATTGTAGGACACAGTGGAAGCAAGAAAAAAAAAAAACAAAACCAAAACAACCCACCTTTAAATGCTTCAGTTCTCTTTTGAACAGGATCAGTACTAGAAGTAGTATAGTATCATCAGAAACCCTCAACCTGCAAGATGGGAACATGGAGCCCTCAGGCCAAGGACTTCATGCATTGCAAATAGCAGTATTATTTAGGGCAAGATCTCTAACAGTTTGTGATCCATACTTTTCCAGATACAAAGCTGCCTTAAGACTACTGCATTAACCTGATTGACTCTTTTCCTGCATACTATGGGATGTCAACAGAATAGTTGCCAGCCTGTGAGCTCTCTTCCAGCCACCAGGCTTATAAATAAAGAGTAAAAATCTTTTTTTCCTGGAGCTTAGAAGAAATTACAAGAACAAACAATTCTTCTGCTTATCAGACTGGTTAAAAACATTATTTGTCCTCAAAATGGACAGTACATTAAAATTTGAACTTGGAGCACAATACAAAGGCAAACAACTGAACTTTTAAAGAAAAGCCCGCTGTAACCACCCTAAAATACAAACAAATCCAGCCTTGTATGCAGGCTAATGCTGAAGGCAGAAAGCTAGGGGGACTTGGAAAAAAACCTGATTTTTTTTTTTTGCATCCCCTGTGTGAACACATTGCTGAGGGGAAAGCAGTGAACTCCAGGAAAGCAAGGATAACCTGCAAACCTGCAAACCTGCAATGCAGTTACCAGAGCTAAACGCCATAGAATCATCCCATCAGATGGTAAAAATAAAAAAATGAATAATAAAATCCACGATCTCTGTTCCTGAAGGATAACTTTCACAATTGCTTCCATGATACACTGACAGCTTACAACTCTTCATGCAGAGCAGTGACCCCTCCTTATGTACTTGTTTAATGAATGATCTCAAACTACCCTCCTCTTTCATGCTAAGCAGTAAGCAAAAATCTGATCTCCAATATATAAGACAGTGCTGTTAAACTAGAATGTTTTTTACTTAAGAGAAGTGTAAAATATCTGAAGGCTAGAAAAAATGCCTTACCAAGGAAGCTCTTTAGGGCCTAAGATGACATCTTAAAATACCTGAACTGGAGGTATCTGAACTATCCTGGAGGGAAGGAAGCACCCTACAAAGACTTGAATGCATCCAAGAGAAATGAAGATGAGGATACACTTTGCCAAATTTGATTTAAGAACATAATACCTCCTAGCCTCCCAGCTGAAACAGGAAAAGACAACACATCTATCAATCCTTTCTTTAAAGACTGGGAACAGAAACCCAAAAGGCCAGATGACCAGATATAAAGGAACATCAGACGAAGTAAAGTAAAACCCTTATGTCTGTGTTCACTGTCCTACAGTTTAGAGAGGTTTCCATAGCTTAAGCTCTTTTGTGAGGGTCTCTGATGATGCAGATGCAACAGTGAACATAAGCAGTAATGAAATAGCTGCATTGTTAAGCAAGGTGCAGAACCTCTCTCTTTGAGCTGACAAAGCACCTAAAGAAATCATGTGTGGAAAACAGTCAGTATTTAAAGACAGTCTCAAGGAAGATCCAGACTGACATCTCTGTTGAGCAAATTAGTAAACAATGTAAATCAAGAACAGAATTAGTGGACACGAACAAATAATATATTGGGAAAGATTCAACCTGGCTGTTGTGAAGGCAAGTCATACCCTGCAAAATTAGGTACAACATGGATAAAGGACAACTAAATGATAAGAGTCTATGTCGGAGTCCAAAAAGTTTTGAGAAGTCCCTCAAGTAAAACTCTTGATGAAACTAAGCAACCAAGTGATAAGATGGAAAGATTTTGCATGGACAAATAGCTAAGAAAGTCATAAACAGTCTAAGCAGTTCCCACATTGAAGGAATCCTACAGAAAATCTACATTGTTCTTTGCCGTTTGCTATGTTCGTATATTACATCTCAAAGGGGATGAGTAATTGATGTTCACAATACAAAGTTATACTACACACCAAAGATGAGGGCTAACTGAAGAATTAAACGACTGTGATGTACAATAAGAAGCAGCAATGATTATAGATAAATGTAAAACAAAGCCTGTGTGTCTGCAGGCACAAGGAAATTCTGGGTTCTCATATAGAATCACAGGCTGTGAGCTAGTAATTGCCACCCACAATAAGATCTGGATATACGACAGTTTATTCTAGATAATTTGCATTGCTCAGTGCACCACAGGGATCAATAGTTAGAAAAGTAAACAGAACTAATTTCTGTTTGTATTTCAAATACTAAGTGCAGGTTTAGTATTCTTTCCTTAATAAAATAGAAACACCCCAACCCACCACAAGACAATTAACTCAGAAGACTTTTAAGTAAAAAAAACCCCACCCAACCAAAAAATAAACAAACAAAAAAAAACCCCACCCCCCCCAACCCACCCCCCAAAAAAACCACACACACACAAAAACCCCAAACAAAAACAACCCAATCCCCAGAACCCAAAACCAAACCAAAACACACAAACAAACAAGAAACTCAGACAAAATTAAGAGAAGTATGAAACACCTTCCATATAATCAACAACTGAAGAAACCAGGACTTCCCAGTCTGGAAAGAAGGCTACCTATAGCAGAGAAGGGGAAGAAGACTATAAAATTAATAGCTTGGAATAGTTGCGTAGAAATTGTTCACTGTCTTGCCCAATGTAAGAATGAAGGGTCAAAAGACACTAGCTGAAGGTGGGTTCAAAACTAACAAAAAGGCAGTGGCTCTTTATGCATATTATAATCAACGTGAACCTGCCACATGATGTTGCAGACCCAAATGTTTACATGGGTTCCAGGGTAGACTGTGCAAATTCATAAAAAAAAGAAAACCACACTGTGATTAAATATGATTAAATACAGAAACACAACCCAGGTAGCCCAGAGACAGAGCAGAACACAAGCAAAACAACCTGCACACCTAAATCTAATGCTGCTATAAACAAACCTAGTCCACCTCTCAAGAAACCTGCTTCCAAAGACTTAGTAACACATGATAAAATGATAGCTGGCAAGGCACTTTACAGGGCTTTTCACAATTTTTATTTCCTATCTGCTATGAGAGATCATCACGTACAGATAACTAAATAGCCACTACCACCCACTGTTATTTTGGGATATATACAGAGTATTTTTAAACTGCCATTAGGTACTAATTTGTGCAGGATCAGTCTATACCTTAACATCTTGAATTCTTTGACTATTCCCTTATGATGAGCACAGCCGGTTGTATTTGTTCAGAACAGTACGTCATGCAGCTCATTAAGGCCAATGCAACTCCCTTGCTTTACAAAATTTTAAAAATAAACAAAGGATAAAATGCAAGTCCCTTCAGCTCTGCCTCAGCCCTTCATCACACAAGCCCAGACTGTAACAAAGCACACTGCAATCACGAACAGAGACACACAATTTTATTAAGATGATTGGTTCACATTCCACCAATTTCAGTTGTTCCATGGGTGACTTCACATAGCAGATGCCAACCCTCCTTCCTCCTCCTTTTACTCTCCTCAATTTTCAGGAAACAGGAGCAACAGCAGCCACATATCCTGGTAAGTAAGCTTGTTTGTGCCCACATCCAATAGACAGTACCTATGCAAAGTTTTCTTGATGGCTTTACTGCTGTTTTCTAACTCTGATCTCTCCCAGATGCAATACAACTACCAGAATCAAGCAAAGAAAGCCACACTAAAAGGCTTTCAAGTGTGTATCTATCAAAGGCAAGTATTAACAACTCCACCACACCCTCCCATCATCCTAAATTCTGGGCACGGCCCCCAGAAAGGGACAAACTTTTCTTCATATTATGTAATCTACACATGTATTAACATAACAT